CTAGAAGTGGAATTGCAGGGTTATATGGTATCCACTGTGTTTAAAATTTTGAGAAACTACCAGACTGTTTTTCAAATCAGTTGCACTATTTTACATTCCAGCAACATATAAATGTTCCAATTTCTCCACATTCTCACCAACACTTGTTATTTTCTGTTTTTTTAAAATTATAGCCCTCCTCATAGTTGTGAAGTAGTATATCATTGCAGTTTTGATGGACATTTTCATAATCTCTAATGATGTTGATCATCTTTTCGTGTGCTTATTGGACATTTGTATATTTCATTTTAGAGAATTGTTTATTCAAGTCTTTTGCCATTTTAATTGGGTTGTGTTTTGTTGTTGAGTTATAGAAGTTCTTTATATATCTTGGTTATAAACCCTTATCATATATATGATTTGCAAATATTTTCTTCCATTCTTTAGGTTACCTATTCTTTTTATTGATAGTATTCTTTGGTACACAGGTGTTTAATTTTGATGAAGTCCAATGAATCTATTTTTTCTCTCTTCCATTTTTGAAAATTGTTCTGCTATATTTAAAAGAAAAATAGTTTCACATCTTTTTCTGTCAGCGCATTTAATGTTATTCCACTGTCTTCTTGCCTCCATGATTTTGATGAGAAATCAGCTGTTAATCTGTTGAGGCTACTTCCTATATGAAGAATTGCTTCTCTCTTGTTGTTTTCAAGATTCTCTGTCTTTGTCTTTTGTCAGTTTGATTATGATGTGTCTAGGAGTGGATCTTTTTTTTTTTATTTTGGCATATTATGGGGGTACAGATTTTAAGGTTTCAATAAATGCCCATTTCCCCACCTCCCCCCAAAAGGCTGAGTCTCCATCATGACCATCCCCTAGATGGTGCACATCTCACTCATTATGTATGTATATACCCGCCCCCCTCCCCCCTCCCACCTGCCCAATACCCTATTACTGTAGTACCCATGTGTCCACTTAGGTGCTACTCAGTTAATACCAGTTTGCTGGAGAATATATCTGGTGCTTGTTTTTCCATTCTTGGGATACTTCACTTAGTAGTATGGGTTCCAGCTCTAACCAGGAAAATATAAGATGTACTATATCACCATAGGAGTGGATCTTTATGAGTCTATCCTATATGGAATTCACTGAGCTTCTTGAATCTCTATATTAATGTTTTTCATCAAATTTGGGAGAAGTTTGGTCATTATCTCTTCAAATATTCTTTTTGTCCCTTTGTCTCTCTCTTCTTCTCTGTCTTTCAGACTTTGGAGGCTTTGTTTATTCTTCTTAATTCTTTTTTCTCTCTGTTCCTCAAACTGGATAATCTTAATCAACCTATCAACCTATCTTTAATTTCACTGATTCTTTCTTCTGCCTGGTCAAATCCACTGCTAAGTGCATCTAGTGAATTTTCCATTTCATTGTACTTTTCAACTCCAGATTTCTATTTGTTTCTTTTTTTTAATTATTTATATGTCTTTATTAAAATTCTCTATTTGAAGAGACATCATTCTTATACTTTCCTCTGGTTCTTTAAGCATGGTTTCCCTTAGTTCTTTGGACATGTTTAGAATCTTATTTAAAGTTCTTGGCCAGTAAGTCTAACATTTGAGCTTCACAGGCACAGTGTCTACTGATTGCTTTTCCTCTCCATGTATGGGTTGCATTTTCTTACCTCATTGCATGCCCTGAATTTGTTGTTGAAAACTAAACATTTCAAATAATATAATGTTGCAACTCTGGAAATCAGATTGTCTTTCTAGGGCTTGTTGTTGTTGCTGCTTATTATAGTAGTTGTTTGCTTAGTGGCTTTTCTGAACTAATTCTGTAAAGTTTGTGTCTTTGTTGTTATGGCCATTAAAGTCACTATTTAGTTATCTTACTGGTCAGTTAATGACTGGACAGAGAATTCTTTAAATACTTGGAATCAATAAGTCTTCCAGTCTTTGCCAAGGATATCTGTGTGCATGTTAGGGCAGTCATTCACCTCTGCATTAGCCTTACTTGCTACCTGTGAAGAGCCACAGGTCAGTCAGAGGTGAGACCTTAGGACTCATTCAGATCTTTTCTGAGCATGTGCATGACCCTACACATGTAGATTCCCAGGAGTATATCTGAGCTTTTCAGAGCTCCTATGGACATCTCATCCTTCAGCTTTTTCTTTCACTCTTTTTGGTTGGTCTCTTGTTTGCCTGCCATGTTGTTATCTCTCTCTCTCTCTCTCTCTCTCTCTCTCTCTCTCTCTCCATTCATTTATAGTGATCTATCTATCACCTCAGAGCACCATGCTGTTAAAACATTAAAAACCATCTCTCTCCCCATAAATTTTCAGCACTGGGTAGATTTGAGTGAGATGAAATAAAGACAAGCCTTTAGAGCAAGGTCTTCTAGGGAACCATCAGACAAGTAAAATAATGACTTCTCTTTAGTAATTGAGGCTTTGAAAAAATTTCAGTAGATTCAGGGGGTACAAGTGGAGTTTTGTTACATGGATATATTGTATAGCAAGGTATGTGGCTTTAAAAGAGTCATCTGTGTTCTGCTCCCTCCAGTCCTGGGAATGTGGGCTGTTATTTTTCAAGGCTGCACAGAGCTAGGAAGGGGGAGATGGGACTAGGGTAAGTTAAAATGTGACAGAGCTTGCTTTTCTCCTTGTGCATGGGTTGTACTTAGCCCTTACTGAGATTAAGCCATTTCCTTGCCTACATCTCCCTAGGTTGCTGTGAGGCTTTGGTTAATATTCAGAATTCTGAAAAAGTTGATTCTGACAAATTTTTTTTGCCAGTGTTTTCTTTGTTTTATGGAGGGGTGAATTCTGGAGGTCCTCTTTCTTCCATTTTTATCCTCTTAATTAATTTTTAAATTTAAGAGTATGTCTAAACTTTGTGGGGGGGGGAGTGGGCAGTTTGGGTGTTCCACAAGTTAATTTTAAAGTTCACATGAACAAATAATCAAAAATAACTTGAAAATCTCTCAAAAAGTGTAATGTCATGAGAATAGTCCCACCCAGGATTAAGACATTTTAAAACGATAATTATTAAAACAGTATAATACTGGCAATAAATAGATTAATGGAACAGAACCAAGACTCCAGAGAAAGAGCCAATACATATGATAAAGTGTATAATACTAATGGCAATGCATATCAGTGGGGAAAGAGATAGTAAATTTACTGGCATTAGAAAAAAATTAAGTTGGATTCTTACCTAACTTCTTACAACAACATAAATACCAGAAGGACTACTCCCTTTGCCTAGAAGCCTCTGTCACCATGTATTCATGGAGCTTGGTCCTTCACTTTATTTAGTTCTCTACCAATTTGCACCTCCTCAAAGAGAGTTTTCCCAACCACCCTATCTAAAATGGTTAAAGAAACTGATCACTGAGTGTTTTTCCATTTTCCGTAAAAGGAAAGAGTCCAGGAAGGCTCAATTCTTTGTATACTATTTTGGCTCAAATAATGTAATAACAGAATAGTAGGGATTATCCTTAATTCTTTTTAGTATCATCTATTACATCCTATCTGTTAGCTTAGTATTTCTGGCTCTAGGTCCAAAACATGTGCCAACTGGACACCTCACTTCTCGCTAACTTTATTAACTTTATCCTAGACCACATGACAATCGCCTCTTGCCTGGATTTCAGCAATAATCTCCAAAGTGAACTTTCTACCTTCACTTCTCTTTTTGTTAACCCATTCTCCAAGCAGCAGTCATAGAGAACATTTGAAAGCACAAATGACCAGAGGATCAGTTGCATGAATACCAAAGGTTTAAACAGAAAAAGAAAATCATAAAAATAATAGGAAAATTGAGAGTTATAACAAAATAATCTCAGAGTAGGTACAACTGTTCTGGAAACAATCCAAATATCCATTAAAGTAAAATAAAGATAGATAACTAGATGTCATATATTAATACATGAGAATAACATAAAATAATGAAAATAAGTGAACTATATCTATGTACAACAACATTCTTGGGTCTCACAAACAAATGATGAGTTAAAGAAATAAGATGTTAAAGAATGAGAATCAGAGGGTATGATTCCATTCATATGGAATTAAAAATGAGCAAAATAAACTATAGTTTTAGGGATGCATCCGAATATGGTAAAATTATAAAGAAACAAAAGGAGATAATTATTACAAAAATCCAGATAGTGGTTACCCCTGGGGTCTGGGGTGATGGTGGTACTGTGAACAGGGAGGGACACAGGAGAGGCTTCTGGGTAATGGCGATGTTCTATTTATTGACTTAGTTACTGGCTATATAGGTGATTATTTGTTAGTTATTCATTAAACTATTTACATAGGTTTGTGAACTTTCCTGTATGGCTGTTATATTACATCATAAGATAAGAAAAATTATAAAGAGGATGTAGTATGTGGTCTAGTATTTAGCATTATATCTTGGGTAAATTTTTATTTTGAGGGTATTTATATTTTTTAAACTCTTCATCCTACATTCCTCTAGATTCATAATTTCTAACATTTAGAGGGGTTTCTCTTTTTCTTTTCTCAAGGGATTTTGCAGTCCACTTTCTAGGGACTACTGTAATATCAGTAGTTAATCATATTAGAGAGACACTGTGAAAAGCTGTGTAATCAAGGAACTGCTATCAAAATACCATTCTGCTCTTTGTGGCTTTGCTTTTTTCCCAATATAAAGTAGATTTCACTTATAGATTTATAGAACGCTGATCTCCAATCCTGGGCTCATAAAATTTGATTTATTAACTACTGGATGTGGATGATCTTTACCTTTCAAGGCCTTTGTAAGAATAAAATAAGGTACTAAATGGCAGCTCGTATGGCTTTTAATGAAACAAAACAAATTATAGCTTAAATGGTTGCTCTAGAACGAGATATTAATGTTCTTTCATTCCACAAATGTAAGGGAAAATGGTTATTAAAAAATAGGTTTGATGTGGTGATCTGTTTGAAATCTTTTCATCTGATTGTTTGCTATTTCTCTTTTTTGACAATGGATCCTAACCTTTTCCCCCATATATCTCAGGACATTTGTTTACCCACTGCTCAACAGAGGGAGGCCTTTTCCACTTGCAATAATTTTCAAAGGCTTTGTCTTCTGCATGGGAAATGGAGTCCTTCAAGGCTACTATCTGATTTACTGTGCGGAATACCCTGATGAGTGGTACACCGACATACGGTTCAGCTTGGGTAAGAGAATCTGACCTGTTCTCACTCACTCTCCAGCTAATACCCACCATCGCCTCTCTCCACCCTACTGCAGAATCCTCCTCACGATCCCATCTCCTCCTCACTCACTTCCACTCTACTCTTTTTCTACATGGCATCCAGAGAGATAGGTTAACAACATAGCATGTCATTTCCCATCTCAAAACTCTCCAGTAGATTTCCATCACTCTCATGATAAAATACAAATGACCTTACCACTACCTAGAAAACCCAAATATTCTTGGTCTTTCTGATTTCCCAATCTCCTCTCCTGCCTCCCTCCACCTCACTTCTTATGCTCTAGTCCCAGTGGCCTTCCTGCTGTGCCAGAAATTGTCATGCTTGTCCTGCCCCAGAGCTTTTGGAGGGGACTACTCCCTCTGCCTAGAAGCCTCTGTCCCCACATATTCATGGAGCTTCGTCCCTCGCTTTATTTAGGTCTCTACCAATTTGCATCTCCTCAAAGAGAGTTTCCCTGATCACCCTATCTGAAATAGTTAAAGAGGCTAATCGCTGATTGTTTTTCCATTTTCCATAAAAGGAGCTAGAGTCCAGGAAGGGTCAATTCTTTGTATACTATTTTGGCTCAAATAACATAATAGCAGAAAAGTAGAGATTATCCTTAACTCTTCTTAGTATCATATATCACATCCTGTTCATTAGCTTAGTATTTCTGGCTCTAGGTCCAAAACATGTGACAACTGGACAGCTCACCGCTCCCTAACTTCGTTAACTTCATCCTGGTCCATGTGACAATCACCTCTTGCTTGGACTTCTGCAATAACCCTCAAACTGAGCTTTCTACTCCACTTCTCTTTTTTGCTAACCCGTTCTCCACGCAGCAGTCATAGGGAACATTTGAAAACACAAATGACCAGAGGATTAGTTGGATGAATACTGGCACCTGCACATAATAAGTATTCTACGACTACAAAAACAAAGAAACAAACATACAAAATCAAAAGCCTGGAGATCTCTGTGTGCTCATGTGGAGACACCTCTAGGATATACAGTTAAATAAGAAAGTAGGATACATGCTATGCCTGTATAACTAACATATATAGTATGGTATTTTTTAATATAGAAATGAAATAGAAGGAAAATTGTGTGTGTGTGCAACTGGAAAAGGAAATATTGGAAGTATAAAAAAAGAAACCAACAAAAAAATTTTTCTTCTCAGAGTAAAGAGAGCAGGGTGGGTGGGCAGAGCTTTTCTTTCAACATAGTTTTGTCCTTTGAATCATGAAACTTCATTTCTCAATTTTTTAAAAACTCTAAATTGAAGAAAAGTTTCCTAAAATTAAAAGCAAACAGACAAATGTGCCTAATTATGTATTAAACTGGTAATATAACCACGCAGGAAAATGATTTATGCCAGTTTACAAAAAACACAGCAGATAGAGAAATAACTTAAACACCTCCGTGAGGAAATAAGCTAATCGTATCTAGAAAAGGGGAAGGACAACTGTCTGATCTCTTCAACAAGTCAGTGTCTTGAAAAAAACAATGGAAGGGGTCTGGGCTAGATGAAAAGAGCCTTAAAGGACATAATGACCAGATGCCAGCTATGATCTCGTATCAGATCTTGGTTTGCACAAACCACCTGTAGGGGGGATTTGAGAAACATCTGAGGAAATTGGAATATGGCCTAGATATTAGATAAGATGAAAATCTGGAAGGATTTAAACTAATGTGCTTCATGATAGTAAATTCTGGGTGGTGGGAATAAGTGTCTTGGTTATTTTAAATTTCTTCTAATTAGTGTTTAATATTCTTTGTAACATACATATTTCTTTAGCAATAATAATAAAGAGAAATCAAATTCTATTTCTTGCCTGATTAAAATCTACCACTGACTTCCTATTGCACTTAAAAATCCAAATGGCTTTGGATTTGATGTGGCTTTCACTTCTGCCCTGCCCTCATCTCCTCCTCCCGGCACCATCCTCAGGCATCAGGACCTTGGCACCTGGGGCTCCTCCCGCCACCAGATCTCTGTCCCTCAGAGTTTTGCATTCTCATTATTCAATCCTGGGATAAATGTCAAATTGTCAGAAAAACTTTCCCTAGCCACCTCATCTAAAGTAGAGACACCTCCACACCCCTAACTTTACTCTCTCATTACCCTGCTTTGGTTTCCTGTAATACATTGATCATTATGTGATTTTTACTTTGATTTTTAATTCTTTGCAATTCTTTTCTGCGTTCCTCCACTGAAACGTAAGCTCCATGACTGTTCTTCTCACTACTGGCTCTCTGGTGCTTAGGAAAGTGCCTGGTCCATAGTAAGTCCTCAGTGAGCATTAATGATCTTCATTCCTTCCTTTTGAGATGCGTCCTGTTAGAACCTACATTTTATAGATGAGGAAACCGAGGCTGAGAGAGGTGAAGGGACTTGCTCAAGGTCACACAGGCAGCCAGTCTGAGGTCCCTGCTTTCTCCCACTGCTGTGCATGCTCCCCCTCCTCTTTCCCTCCCCCAGCTGTCCCGAGGCGCCTTTTCTTCCAGGTCAATGATGTTTTGACTAGACAAGGTGGAAAATCATTGTTTTTATATCATGTCAAATAAAGTGAGAGTAGATCTAATTATTTTCCTGATTTTTGCCTGATGCATTTTGATCCGCACAAATGTGCCTTCTGGGGGGGGGGCGGGACTGGGCCCCTGCGTGGGGGTGTGTCTCTGGGCTGTGGCGTCCTCCACTGCCTCGCAGGACCTCGCACCCTGACCCTGGCTCTCCATGCCTCAGACCAGGGCCCCTTCCGGACGGGAGGATGTACATGCGGAGACACCTCCGGGATATGTGGCTAAGTAAAATGAATAAAGGTGTGAGCAGTGTGTGTAGTGTGCCACTTTTTATGTCCGAATATGTGTGTTTGTGGGGGGTAGAAGTCAGTTTGTTGGTGGCCAAGACCTCCAGGCCAGCTCACGTTACTTTCACGAGAGCAGGTGTGTCAGTCAGGAATGCTCTCAGGCAGGAGTCACAGAAAACAGACTAATAGTGACCGAAACAACTCAGAATTCATATTTCTTATATAACAAGAAGTGCCCAAAGGTAGGTTGCTTGCTGACGCCATTGCTGACGCGATTAAGAACTCAGGCGCTGTCTCCACTATTCTTAGCCTATTTACCTGTGGTCCTCTTTGTTAGTCACTTCATGGTTTCAAGACAGTGGCTGTAGCTCAAGGCATTACATCTGGCAGACAAGGCAGGAGGAAGGAGGAAGTTGAGGCACCTGTTTCATCTGCTCCCTTTACCAGAAAAGCAAAAGATTTCCAAGGAAGTCTCGATAGGAGTTCCCTTTACATCTTATTGGCAGAATTAGGTCATGTGGTCACCTTTCACCTTTCCAGCCTCTGCACTGGGGGATGGCAAAGGAGAAGGGGTTGGCATGGGCAGTAGAGTTAGCCACCCACAGTTTGAGTGTTTCTGAATGAGCCAAAGCTTGCTGTCATTCATTCATTCATTCATTGATTCACCTAAATGTTGGACAACATGATGTTGCCTCCTCTCTCCTCCCACCTGTCTCCGTCAGTGTCCTTATGCACTTGTAGCCTTTTGGTCCAGGAAAAAGCACAACTCCTCCTCTATCTAGGACCAGCCCCCATCACCTTTTTTTTTTTTTTTTTGCCATATTTTAGTACCATTCTTAGATTTAGAAATTAAATTCCCCCTCTTTCATTTTTAGGAAAAAAAATCCTTAGCTTGTGAGAAAAAACACCAAAATCCAAACACTTTTTTTTTTAACTTCTACCTTCTCTCTTCTTTGCCAAGGTGTCTTCTTATTTATTTTGGGAATGGGAATCAACATTCACAGTGACTATATATTGCGCCAGCTCAGGAAGCCTGGAGAAACCATCTACAAGATTCCTCAAGGTAATGTATTCCCTGCCACCCAGATTCCTACTCCTCCCTGGAGCCTGTGCCAGGATCATGCTTGAGTAACAGACAGAGAGGGGGCAGCCGCGGCCTACACCATACCCTACATCCCGCTTGCTCTTGACTTTCCCTCCACTCCCTGCCCCACCCACAGCACATCTGCATTTCCAACCTGAGCCCAGCAGCTCGGGAGAGCTACAAGAGCCCTCAGGGAGGTGCGAGATCACAATATCCTGAAGGTGGGAGACAGTGGGAGGTCTGGGTAGGTTGGGATCAGGCTACATCCTAGTTGCAGCAGGTAAGATCATCATGGACAGAGTGTCGATCCCTTTCTAGGTTAGTAAATGAAGCTGAATCATGCATGATCAACAAATATGTTCCCTCCAATTGATTCTAGACTTCTTTAGAGAGTAGATAAGGGTAGTACTTGTGCATTTCCTACCACTTGTATATACTCTTAAATGTGTCGAGAACCATATTCACGTAATCAAAAATTAGGAAGGGAGGTCTTACAAGGACAAGCACATTTTTGGAGATAAAGGTGCAGAATATTTGAAATCCTAACTGTTCGTAAGAAACCAGGCTGTGAGACTGACAAACATAAGCAAGTGGGAGTAAATCAGTCCAGGTAATCCTTTGATATATTTATGTGGGTATTTGTATAGGTCAGTGGCTCCCACCCTGTTTTTCTGAGACAGAGTCTCACTCTGTCATCCTGGCTGAAGTGCAATGCTGTCATCATAGCTCACAGCAACCTCAAACTCCTGGGCTCAAGTGATCCTCCTGCCTCAGCCTCCTGAGTAGCTGGGACTACAGGCCTGCGCCACCACACCCAGCTAATTTTTCTACTTTTTGGTAGAGATGGGGGTTTCACTCTTGCACAAGCTGGTCTTAAATTCCTGAGTTCAAGCAATCCTCCCTCCTCAGCCTCCCAGTGTCCCACCCTTTTTGATGTATGTACAACCCTTTATTTATATCAAAAAATTTCTGAATTATGACATAGTGTTAGTGCAGATTAATATCCACTGATTAAGAAATTAATGACAAAGCTACTATGAATTCAGTAACACATTGAAATGGATTTGAATGTTGTTAATATCCTAACAGTGCCTACATCAAACAAAAATAATACAGTAGGTTGAGATGTACCATTTATTGTATTCACGGACAATTTATAGGCCCTTTGCATTAGATCAGCAGTTCTCTCCTAGGGCCTAGAGAATCTTATTTCAGGAACTGCTGATGCAATGTCATCCTTAAGGAAGATAACTTTAAGGGGCTTTGATTTTTTTTTTTTAATGTTCACTCCATAACTAGATAAATAAAGAAAAGCAGAGAAAGTTTGTCAAAAACCAATTGTCAAGTTTAGTTTCCAACTTTTGATTTGTGATAGAAAGAGAATGATTTAAAAACAAAATATTTTCAGATAACTATAGAAAGAACAAAATTGTTTTGGTTTAACTTCTCCAGTTTAATGTGGGTCATAAAATTTGAGTGTGGATATATTTAATAGCATTAGAAATATGATGATTTCTAGATACAATTCTGAAAGAGGAAATACCTGGTTGGATAGAAATGAAACATTTAAAACCAATAAAAACAGAAAGACCTCCTCAGCCTCCAGCAGGACAAATACCTGCAGCTCCTACTCCCTACTTTAGACTTGAACAGAGTATACTCCTTTGCAGAGGTGGGAGAAGGAGGAGAAAATCCCCAAAGAAAATCTAATTACTCTTCCCATAAATTCTGATTTTTATTATTTCAATACACTGTGTTATTTCACTTTGTGTGACTGTGAATGTAAACTTTCCAGGGAAGAAGTGAGAATGTAAGAAAGAAGTGGCTTGAAAACTCCCCTTAATAGAACGAAACAAATGTCATGATAGTTTCATTCTGATTGTTGATTTTTTTATTCTTCTGCACGCAGGTGGCTTGTTTACATACGTTTCTGGAGCCAATTTCTTTGGTGAGATTGTTGAATGGATCGGCTATGCCCTGGCCACGTGGTCCCTCCCAGCGCTTGCATTTGCATTTTTCTCACTTTGCTTCCTTGGGATGCGAGCTTTTCACCACCATAGGTAAACTTTCCAACAAAGGCGGCAGCACTCACATAGCTTTTTCCCCTCCAAATAGGATTTTAGCACCTGGAGTCAGATTTAGAAACCTAACATTTATTTTTATTACGGAAGGCTGATATAATCATTGGATTAGTATATTCTGACTTCTTGGGTTTTTTACTGAACCTGGAATTTAACTGGATGAGAGTAACAGCAACAACACTTTTCCTGAGAGCAAAAGGAAGCCCATGCGGACAGAGGCACCTGAGGGGGCGGCTGGGACGTCAGCATGCCCGCCGTGTTGAGGAAGGCTGCGGGGAGAAGCCCATGTATCCACAGGACTTGGTTGACCCAGGCTCTGCGTCCTCCTAGGAGGCCTGCCTGGTGATGGTTAGTGCTTGGCAGTCAATTCCAGATAAAGAGTCAAGAGGCAAAATAAGTCACTTCCATTCCACGCTCCAGTTAAATTCCCTTCCACCGTGTTTCTCGCAGTGTGTTCCACGGGCAGGACCATGGTCAGCACTCCCCAGAGCGCCACAGATAACGCTAAGGTACAGCAGGACAGAGGGGGAGGGGGGACACCAGCCTGCGGCCTATGCGACTGTTTATTTTGGCTGCTGCAAGATTTGGTGCTAATGGTTCAGGTAATCATAGAGCCTTGGAAAACTCCAGAAGGATATTTTCCCTGGAATTGGGTAATACCGGGGCTTATTTTAGTCCCCGCCCCCGCCTCCCTTTCTCCCGCACTCCTTAAACCTCAGCCGGGTCCAACGTCCGCTTCCTGGGAAGGTGGGACGAGCTTTTGCGGGTGGTGGAATTTTAGGACGGCCCCACCTGCTGGGAAGTGCCTGGAATCGCAGGCGTTTAGAGCCCTTCCCTCCGAAGGTCTAGTAAGCTTCACTAACCCCACTAACCTGGGGTGGGGTGAGGACAGAATAATTAAATAAAGGTATTGCTGGAAGAGAAAGGATAACATTCTCCGTTGTTATTAGGCTTTAAACCTGAGTGCGAATTTCAGATCTTTTCCCTAAAATTCCTTTTGTGGCAAGAGAAAGTCTGTGATTCCTGAAGCCAGAGAGAGGAGGGTAGGGATACTCCAGGAAGGACTGGCCTTGGAACCAGGACCCTGGGGGGACCCCTGAAGCTTTTGCCTTGGTGTTTTAGTCTAGCTAATGACTCCCTGCATAGTTCTGAAGGTTAAACTAAGAATGGGTTCTTTTCTTCTGAGCAGACTTCAGGAGACCAGCTCAGAAGTGAATAAAATAGCTGCTCTCCTAATGGCCCATCCCTGCCACCTCCTAGCCCTGGCAGGGGAGGGCGGCAGAGGGTTCCTAGCCCAGAAGACAGTCACAGCGGTCCTCGCCACTTCAGGCTGGCTCTGTTGCCCACCAGAGGCCGAGGGGGGCTGGGAGAGGAGGGCGCATCACCCCGCTCTGAGGGTGCTTGAGAAGCAGGGGCTCCACCGGGCCTGGGCGGGGGAGACCGTCGATTCCACCAGAAGTCTCCAGCCGGTGCAACAACACAGTCCAAACTGAAGGCTCAACCTGTTATGTCAGGCTGCCCAGAGGAGGGCCAGAGGGCATCTTTTTTATAGTGCTAACGGGGCTTTGTGCAGCATCCCGTAAAGCAGCCCGTGTTCATGGGACAGGGAGCACACAAAGAGGAGCTCCCCAGGCTTCTCAAGTCCCAGCACCAAAAATCAGCCCCTCCTGGAACACACTTGTCTGCAATTCAAACTAAGGTACTTAACAGAGCGTGTCATCTTGATTATGCCTTGAGGGCTGACCAGCTTCAACTGGTTAGGAGGAAAGCCCAGTAACTTAAGGAGAAAGGCTTCTTACAAGATGCCTGAGTCTCCTAGGCTGTTGTAACAAATTACTACACACTGGGTTGCTTAGAACAATGCAAATTTACTCTGCCATAGTCCTGGAGGCTAGAAGTTTGAAATCAAGGGGTAGGCAGGGCCATGCTCTCTGTGACAGCCCTGGGGAAGAATTCTTCCTTGCATCTTGCTAGCTGCTGGTGGCGGCTGGCAGTCCTTGGGGTTCCCTGGCTGATAGCTGTGTTGCTGTAATCTCTGCTTCCGTCTTCACATGGTCTCCTCTCCTGTGTTTCTCTGTCTCTTTGTCTCGGTTCCTTTTAAGACACAGTCATTTTGGATTAAGGGTCCACTGTGCTCCAGTATAGCCTCATCTTAGTTATATTTGCAATGATCCTAGTTCCAAAAAGGTCACATTCTCAGGTACTAGGAATTGGGACTTCACATATCTTTTTGGAGGATGAAATTCAACCCATAATACAAGGGCATATTTTCTTGGCATTCCCAGGCCTCATGAAAAGATATTTTCCTGGACCCATTGCCAATTCTCTGGGGTTAACTTTCCCCATGGTCTTTGGAGTCTTTTGTTCCCTGTGTTTCCCAGCTGAATCCAGATAGGTGCTTCTTTCTGGATATTACATTTTTTTAACCTGGTGAAATATATATATATATATATATATATATATATATATATATATATAACATTACAATTTACCACTTTAACAATTTTTAAGTGTAAAATTCAGTGACATTAGATGCATTCACAGTGTTGTACCTAACCATCGCCACACCGCCCCTCTGGCTATGACTTTTTATTTCCCAGCACAAGAAGCTTCAGCATTTACGAGAGGTCGGCTGTAGGAAGGACAAAGAGGATGGACAAATGACCCTCTGGAATAGTCAGGTCCTGAATGCCAGTAGCTTGACTTGCAACAGGGATTTCAGACACAGCACACCTCAGCTGTTGATCACTGCTCCATTTGTAATTATTCCTTTCTTGTCTTTTTCAGGTTCTACCTCAAAATGTTTGAGGACTACCCCAAATCTCGGAAAGTGCTTATTCCATTCATCTTTTAAAGAAACCAAATAAAAAAGGAGCAAACCTCCTGGAATACTGGTGAAAACTGTCAAGCTGCTGAGACTGTAACTTTCATGATATCATATTCCATGAAATCTCCCATATGTATATACATTAGTTCTCTTGGTGTTCTGCCAGCTGGCCTGGGATTCTGAGTGGTGCCTGCTTAGTTTACTCCCACCCTGCCAGGGATCCCCATCCCCATCTCCTGTTGAACCCTTTCCAGATGGAGACATTTGCTTCTTAGCTATTCCTCTTAGAAAGTGCAAAACGTCCCATAAGTATTTTCTTCATTGGTTAATCCAAGTAAAGGTGGCTTTATACGTACTCTCTATTCATGTTGGACAGCTCTGTAATCAAGAATGTTTTGAATTGGGGCCATGCTTCTAGAACTTATTAAAGGTACACATTTTGTTCCTGGCCAGAGTAGCAGAAATTTAAACTTTGAAACCACATTGACCCAGAGCAAACCCATTCCTAAAAGAAAATCCATTCATGTCTTCCTTCTTTTTCAATTAGGAAAGATATGAAATTATTAAGCACACCTTTAATAGAGGATCCCTTTCCTCCTACTGCAAAATGAAAATGCATTAACTCCAGTTCGTATTTGTGCTGTGTCTTAGTTGATGAGTACCTCTGTCTTCCAGAAGTTTCACAATCCCCGTTGGAGATATTTTAGTCTAACCCAGAACACTGGTGTGGGTTTTCTTGAGGGCCAGGTTTTAATGACCACAAAGAAAAAGACATGACCCTGGTTTCCTCCCAAGAGAGTGGAAAAGTGTTTTACAATACACATTGCAAACTCTTATGTTCTTGGAAGCTGGTGGGCATATCCAAATAATGAGAAAGTGTTAGGTAAGGAAAATTCATGATTAATCACTTGACTTCACACTTCTGCTAAAAAAAAAAAAAAAAAAAATTCATGATTAAGATCACATACTGCTTATCTTGACAAGATGTCTACAATGATGGGAAGTACATCAGAAGCACTGAGCAACTTTCCTCTACTGGAATCTCTTCATCACAGTCCTCAGGACCTGTTCAAGAAGGTGTCTACTAGGGGTAGCCTGAACATCAGCCTTCGATGGTCCTGAGGGCAGAGGCTGAAAATTGTAGGCAAGGGTCACATCTGGGCAGAAGACCTGTTTTGTTTGGCTCAGACATATAGTTTGATTTTTTCTTTACATTCAAAATTTCAAAATTAGGAGGTTTCTACATAAAACTCTGGCATTCTAATTTCATTTAAAAAGCTGAAGTCTCTGGGCCCACAGGGCCTGCATTCCCACATGAGGAGTGGGACCAAGTCTCCAGTGAGCATTTGAGTTTGCAACCTCTTGTCGGGAGGTCACCCTCGTGTGGGTGCTGAGATAACGGACTCTCTGAAAAAGGGGACGCACACTTGTAATCAGCATGTATGAAAATATGTTTCCTCAGGCTTAGGTGTGTGGAAAGCATTGGCAATATTTGCTAAACTCCACCAGATGTGGTGCTAAGTACAGAAACTCACTATATAAGATACACAGGAAACTTGAAAGGTGTGAAGATGGCATAGATTACTAAAAAGATACAAATTATAATCATATAAATAAATGTTTTTGCTGTTCATTAAATGTATTTCAAATCATGGATTTTAAGTAATTTTGTTTGAATTAAAAGATCCTGGGACTTGTGGAGATTTTCCCAAGGTATTGAGCTGTGCTTGCTCACCCCTGACCTTCTCCTCCACCCTGCACCCCACGTTTATCCCATCTTTACTGTTGTTTCTTTCTTCTTCTCTCTTCATTTTGACAAAATGAAACTGCCAATTTGAAATTAGCAGCCAGGAGCTGGAAATAAAGTGATATGAGTAATAGAGCTTCTCAACCACGTCTCAGAATGCCAAAAACGTGCAAGTAAGGTGTAGGAAAATGTGCTAATGTCAGATGCCCGCCCTGCCCCCTGGTGCTCAGGAATACACAGGGAATAAACATACTCAGTGAAATAAATCTTCAGGTGTAGCTTGAACTCTGTAAAAGAAAAGACTTCCAGTTCTCTCCATGACATTGAAAATTGCCTTTCTTAAGTGCTTTATTGTATTACCATGTCAAACATCCAGGCCAGTCCTTGATAGGTAATACCTGCTTAATAAACGACAGCTAATATAATATTTTTCCAGTTTTCAAAATCTGAGGACAAAACTGTTATTTGGCAATTGCATTTTTGGCCACAAGAGGGTGCTTTCTAAAATTTTATTTATCCCAACCCTGACTTCATTTGCTAATTTACATATTTTGAATGGAAAAAAACCTCCAACCCTATTGCCTTTTCAAAGTTAGCATGATTGTGGACATTCTTAATTTAAATATTGGATAAAGTAAACTCCATGAAATCTTAAATCATCCCTTTGTCCCTTCAAAATTGAAGTATTCTCAATACTCTAGGGCAGGCGTCCTCAAACTATGGCCTGTGGGCCACATGCGGCCTGACAAGGATATTTATCTAGCCCGACAGGTGTTTTTGCTGCCACTGCCTGTCCTGCTTAGCAGCCAACTCATCCTGGGCCCACAGTGCAAATGTGTGGAATGTGGGCGCTCTCCAATGGCTCTCCAACGGTCTTAGGGACAGTGAACTGGCCCCCTGTTTAAAAAGCTTGAGGACCTCTGCTAGGGCAGTTGTGTTAAAATCCAGTTTTCTTTCTTTAGGTCTAGGATATGTAAGTGGATGAAATACAAGATCTGAATGTGTGCTCATCCCTAGACATACCTCTTTCCATTTCTCCTGAAAATAGGGTGCAAGAAAATAATGAGTAATTGAGGTTTCCATGGAGTGGTTTTTATTTAAAATAATGTAACAGTTCCTTAGCTAACAAGATACCATGTCCTGTTCTTGCTGTAGCTTTCACAAAATGAATGTTTTCCTGATGGCCTTGTAGAGGATGTTGAGTTTTGTTTGTTTTTTAGGATTCAGACTTAGAGAGCTGAAGCAGACCTCAGACATCAGCTAGTCCCACCCTTTCATGTTATAGACAGAAACACTGAGACCCACAGGGTTGAAATGCTCCCTCATGGTGCACAGTTGGTCAGAGCGGCTATCTCATCTTGTCCCTTTGAGGCTCAGAAGTCTGCTTTTTTTTTCTACTTAAAGCACAAGCTGCAGGGCTCCCATTTGGATTTCTACAGAACTCATGCAGGAGAAAAATAGCCAGAGCTTAAGTACTGTTCCACAATTCGGATGTGCACATGCGGTCCTGGGCATGTTTGTGTGTGATCCATTTCCATCACTCTGTGGGACAATCAGGCTGATGTCCTTGTCATAAACTTACTTGACAAAATGTGGTTTTCCCCACTTTGGCATAATGGAGACAACATTTGTGTTCTGGATGGAAAAGGTCTCAGTTCATAAATTCCTCTCATCCTCAACACTTACCTTCATAAGGAGCAACGTTGGCACCACCATATTCTAAAAGACAAAAAGAGCTCTAATGAGAAATATGCAATTAAACAGTGATTTAGGTGGCTTACACCTCTTTGGGAACAAATAAATCTATGGTTTTACAACTCTGTAGGATTACAATTGCTGTCCTGATGTTTTGTGTCTACCTTGTGGTGATGTCACTAAGAAGCAGGGGAGAAAGCTCTGGGCACGTGGAAGAATGGACTCATGCAGAGTTATTTCCTGTCCTGCCTGGTCTTGCGGTTCTCTAAAAGGCTGTGCAACCCAGGCAAAGCAAGCAAGAAGGGGAACAGCAAATGTAAAGCGACTCCTTCTAGAGAAGGCTGTTGATTGTTTCAGCGGCCCCCAACCTTTTTGGCACCAGGGACCAGATTCATAAAAGACAATTTTTCCATGGACAGGGAGGGGTAGGTGGAGCACAGGTGGTGATGTCAGCCATGGGGAGCAGCTGTAAATACAGAGGAAGCTTCGAGGCTCCCCTGGCTCACCCACCATTCACCTCCTCCTGTGTGACCTCATTCCTAAGTTTCGTGGAAGACAATTTTTTTCCACGAACAGGGGTCAATTCAGCGGAACAGAGCTCAGGAGTCTGTGCAGCCTGGGTCCTGACAGTCTGCAGACTGGTACCGGTTCATGGCCCGGAAGTTGGGGACAATAGTTTTATAGCATCTACACTATCCCATGATGAAAGAAAGAGGCATGGACCAGGTGGTACTGTGAGTGCTTGGATGCTTTAACAGCCCATTGAGGGGATTAAATTTCTGGGTAAGGGATTTGTTCATTCTCTTTGCAAGTCCACTGGGTTGTGATCGTCAAAGGGTCTATGTTATTTGTATTGTGTCCCATTTTTCCCCACCAGCTATAGATTGGGATCTGGATGAATGAAATAAGTTTTCAGGGAAGGTTAAAGTATGCACCAATCTGTGCTAGTTCCTATAGTCCCTTCATTTTGGGGTTCAGAGTCCAGTGTTGCTCAGTGCAATCAGAATCTAGATTGTTTACTAGAGGGCTATCCAATAGCTGTCGCACACGGCAGGCTAGCTTGGGGGAGGAAGAGAACAGAAAGAAAGGGTAGAGGAAGGTGGGGAATGATGTGTGAGGGCCCGGGGGAGGGTTGACAATGAAGGGAAGCAAATGGCCTGAGAAGAGGGGGGCCTCCCCCAGCTGTGTGGGCTTCTTCCCTCTCCAGCACCAGCCTGCACAAACCTGACTCCCGCTCTGTCCTCCCAGGGAGAGCAGTCCCTCTGAGACAGAGAATACACTCGTCTCAGAGCCCCATTTCATAAGTGAAGCTGAGTTTCTTTAAACACACACCATATGGCTGTGCCGCACGATAAATAATTCAATTGTATTTCTGTCAGCTCACCTCGTAAAGATGGTTTTAGGTCTGCGTAACAGGGACACTTGCGAGAAAGAGGTGAAGTCATTGTTTTGAGATGTGTGTGGCAGCATCCAAGTTTGGGGAGGCCAGCGGGGAGATGGGAGCATCCCGAGGAAAAGCAAACATCAGGGCATTTGCTTCCCTTCACCCCAGAGGCCCCCCAGAAAGGATCCTTCCTTATAGGGAGGCATTTTTCAGTGTTGACTAGAAAGAAACACCATACAATCAATTAAATTGTGTCAATTCAACCATGCTTTCATTTGTTACAATTACCTTTCAGATACTATTTTGTTAAAAGACTTCTTTGAGGTAGTTTGTAACAGGATATACTAGCAACAAATAAGTGGAGGTGAGTAAAAATAGCTGTAAAAATGAAATAAAGCTGAGACAAAGCCAAAATGCAAAGACACATGCTAGAAGATCACGTACGGTGGCCACATGTACACCTAGACCTAAATTGGGTGCTAAATCTTCAAAGTCAGGAAGGAAATGATCAGTTGCTAAATTCACAACATCCATAAAACTAAAAACAAAACTAAAAAAGGTACTAGTTGACTAGGAGAACACAGCTATTACTGGTACTGAGACTCATGACAAATTTCTTCACTGTATGATATTGGGAGCTACATTCATTTGAACGGCTGTACAGTAAATGCAGTGGTCACTTTTGTACAGCTTCCTGCGATGTCCTCCTAAAAGGACCATAATCTAATGCCACAGCTCAATTCTCTAAAAGCAAAGGGGCCGAGGAGTTCTGTTTCCACTTAGCATGTAGAAAGACCCAAGAGATTATCACCCTAAAAATGAGATGTTCTTAAGTCTTTTAATGCTGTGGTCACCAACCCCTGGGCTGTGGCCGTTACTGGTCCATGGCCTGTTAGGAACTGGGCTATGCATCACTGCCTGAGCTCCACCCCCACCACCACTGTCCATGGAAAAATTGTCTTCCGTGAAACTTAAGAACTGGGCTGCCCCGGGTGAACCAGCAAAGCTTCATCTGTATTTACAACTGCTCCACATCACTTCTGTTACTGCCTGAGCTCCATCCCCCCACCTCCCAACTCCCTACACCCAGTCCTTGGAAAAACTGT